GTTGAACATTGATAGTCGTAAACCCGAAATTGGTATATAAATAGCTAATATATATATATATATATATATATATTTACATACATTATTTTTTCGGTGTCCTTTTAAATAAAATATTAAGGTTAATATTTATGTTTCTAGAAAAATATTTTTGTATCTATGCATTTGATCTTCTATTGTTTATTTTCTTGTTAAATTGTTCTTGTTAATTTTCTTGTTAATATTATAAAAATATTTCAAAAGAATTTTAATGTACTCTTTGGAGAAGCATTTCGTAAAGTTTTCTTTGTATAAAAGCATATATTTCCTTGTTGAAAAACTTTTTATTGAATAAACTTTGATATTAAAAGCATTTATTTCTCTTCTTTGTATATATAAGTTTTTTGTAATTATTTTTCTGGTTTCTACTTTTTGATTATGGCATGATTATTCATTTTCCAGGGTCAACTAAAAGAGAAAAAAGGAAAATGGAAAATCTTCCGTCGTTGGAGGACACGCTATTTCACATTATCAGCTGGCCATTTATCTTATCGTGGAAGTGTAAGTACTAATTTATTTTAACTTGTGCTATTTGTAGGTTGCAGTTGGACCTTTTTTATGAATATTTTGCTACTGACCAGCTACTACGGTAGACCCTTCTTGAAACTGGTTTAATTTTAAATGAATATGAACCCTGGAAGTTCATATTCTTTAAAATTAAAAGCACATTGGAAAAATGTATTGTATAGAGATGTGTTCTAACATTTCTTGTAATTTATTTTCTTATCCTTATGAATAAAATATTTTTAAGAATTTTATATAATAACTCAGGCTTGAAGACCTGAAACATGTCACTATTTACATTATTACATGTCCGCATAGTGCAAACATAATAATAATAGCTTGGGTTAATAGCTTGAGGCCACTTACAATAAGTGTTTATGTTTAGGGGTATCCCTCAAAAAATAGAAGAAACAATATTTCAATGCAAGATGATGTTTCAACTTAGTATTCACAAATCATGAAACAAAATTTTTCATTTGTTCCCTGCTATGCATTTAATAGTTAATGCTGTTTAGAACCTACAAAAGCAATTCTATAATTTGTAATAATAAATTCAATTTTCTAAAAAAAAACATTTATTTATTTTTACAAGGACAATTAAAAGGAAATATTTAATCTGTCGAGGATCATTTGAAATTCAAAATAAATTTTCTTAATCAAGTTACAGAATATTGAAGTTTGTATCAGTTATTTAACATTTCAGTGAAACTAAAAATAGTTCAATTTTTTAAGATCTCTTTATTCAAGCGCCTTTCTTGACCCCCCTATTCCCAGTATAACCCTGCAGCAAAGCTTGAACTTGAAAGTCTTCTAACTTCTTGATTTTGTGGGAGTAATTTTTTAACCTCAGTCTGTTTATATTTCCAACTACTTATACGATTTTCTATTAGTTTTTATTAGATATAGATAATGTAATTCTCTTCTATTAGTGTAGAAATTTTTTATTATATCTTTTTGAATTTTCTATAATCTTCAAAATTCCATTCACTTATAGAGGGTTGCCACTCCACAGGGAGAACAGGAAAAACCTGGAAAATACAGAGAAATTAAAAATAACAGGGAAAATGCAGGGAATTTTGATTTTTTCTTTACTCACTGGGAAAATACAAGGAATTTTGTTTCTTATTTTTGTCTTTTAAAAAATGGTAACCACTCAAAGCGTAATCTGTGGGATATTTAAGCATGATATTTCAGCTATACTAAACTATTTCATTTGCTACAGCATTATTTAAGTATGTTCAGCTGTTTTTCCTGCAATTAAAACTTATAAATATAGTTAACCCAAAATAGCTCAAACAAGAGCACAGTAATTGTTGTTTCCTCTTAATATATTGTGTATTATATGTACAGGGAAAACAAGGAGAATTTTTTTTTCCAGATTTGAGTGGCAACCCTTTTATATTTTTCAACAAAAATATTAGTTTTGAAGAAGCTTATAAAATTTTAAATTTAGAATAATATTTTTTTGCTTCATATTGTGGAGAGTTTGATTATCTATAACCTCTTTAAAACTAAATGGAAATCAAATGTGTAAGTTTAAAGATATCAATGAGATATGATAGAGGATTCCATTTAATATTTTTTAAGTTGCTTTCCCTGATACTCAAATGCATAATGTTATATTTTAAGTGACTTAAAGACTGTTCATTTTTAGGATCAAGATACCTTAATCAATGAATTAAGAACTGCTAGATTTTTTGATGTTTTTGAATACAATGGACCTCTAAATATTTGGGGGTGCTTCCTTTGTAATCATCCAGACAGAGCACGTGGTTTTCTTCAAGATACTCAGCCTGTCATAGAGGTAACTACTCCTATTTTTCATTTCATTTTTTTGAGGCCTTAGTGTTATAGCACTTAATTTAGAAGAAAATGTTTTACATGTATAAACTGTAGAACCTACTTTAAACAATTCTGCATTTTATGGGACTCTGGATTTAAGGGAGGAAAAGAAAGTCTTGTTTGGCAGAATGCTATAAATATATTTAAGTATATTATTTTAGTTAGCAATGTTTCTTTTGGATATAATGACGTCAATAATTTTGGATCCATAAAATAATATCAGAAATTATGCAAAACTATTAAAAAATGCACAGTACTCTATCAATTCTTTAAAATTCTTTACTGTCTTTCTGTACATAATTATTTGAAAATAGGTATGTAGTCTTCAGTGGGAATATTTTTGTGGAAATGATAAATGCACTGAGTTAAGCTAATGAGTGTTGTGATTCTGAGAGAGAAAATACTTAAATCACCAACATGTACTAACACGTATTAGAAAAATTTCCAACAGAACTGTTGCTTATAGTCTTTTATAATTGAATAAAAAACACACTGCAAATTGATAGAGAATTTGAATTTATTCAGCATTTTACNTTTATTTTTAATTTCTATTTAATTTTTGGTTGCTTTAAAATTAGTATATATTTTTCGTCAGATTGTTTAGTATTCCTAATATCAGTTAATAATATGTAACGTTAATTCCTAATTTCAGTTTTGGTTGGAAATAATTGTAAAGCTCATAAAAGTAAATATGACACATTTGCTGTTGAGTAATAATTCCAAAATGCTTACATACTGTTTTCAATATGTTTTTCATAAAGTTTTGAATAAATTTTTTCCAAAATTATTACTTCACGATAAAAATAAAATATCAAATGATTCTAAGAGAATAATATTAAGAATGATAGTGGATGATAAAGAAATATTACAAGTAAATATCTATAAATGATAATGAAAAAAATAATTTATCAATATTTGTTAATTAAGTAACCTTACCAATTTTCTGGTCATAGGAATGTGTTGATACCTTTGGAAAATCATTTTAAACCCTTTCATTTATATGTTTCCCCCGAGAACTGGTAAAGAACATATATATTTGAAAATTATAAATCTTAAACATAATTGTAATTTTTTTGTATAAAAATTTTCTTAAAAATATTTATGGCAATGAATTTGAAAAGATATATATATTAAGTTAAGCCTAATTGAAAAAAAGTGGAAGGATTTCAGGTGATTAGATATTAGTATGACCCGTTTTTACTTGAAATAGGACTTCTCTCATGCATAACTCTAATTCAACTTCTTAGTGTTAATTTTTTTAATGGATACCCTTTTAAATGAAACATTTTGTTAATAGAAATGTATTTTTTCTTTTTGGCATAACTGAATATTTACCAAAATTGACCCACAGCTGAATTTGTGATGCATGTCTAGTAGCGACATATAGTACTTTCCTTATTTCAAATTTATTTATTTTCTCTTTTTTTTAATGTATGAAAAAAAATGCAAATTTTAATATCTGCTCCTAATTTTACAATTCAATTTCAATGAAGTGATTAAAAAGGGAATACAGATGTATATTCATAGATGTCGTTAATCCTTAACAATCTGAAAATGTTTTAAAAAAACCTGACCCAGGTTTTCAAAAATAATAAGTCGATGATAAATACTTATACTATTTTTAAGGTCCTTAATTTTTCAAAAAAAGTCCTTAAAAGTGCTTAATTTTTGCTTTGTTAAAAGAGTGGGAACTCTGGATATCCATCTTTTCTATTAGGGAGTAGATCTAAACAGACTACCAGTTCATATACTGTATAGAGAATAATTTCTGAATAGACAACTACTAAACAAATAAACCTTTGATATTCACTACTAGTTGAATATAATATGCAAATGGATAACTGATGGAGACATTCTCTTCATGGGATTCTGAGAGAGTACATGTGATAGTATTTTTTATTTTATATTATTAAACTTCAAAGTTGAGAAAAGAACTCGAAACAAATGTAACTTAAGCAAATTTCTGCTAACATTTATTCTCCTTTATGTTTAAAAGTTAAATCTTTTGCCCTTTATATCATTACATCAGTTAGAAAAATGATATTCTAGATTACTTTATACATTTAATATTGAAATCTGTAAGAAAAAAAATCAAATGCATTTTTTGAAACATTTATAGTGAAATTTTCAGAATGAGTTTTTGGAAAAACTATTTAACATTGTATTCTACTTAGGTTTACATCTATTGTTTTCTTTTCTTGCAGCAAGATGAAAAAGAAGTTCAACCAATTGATATTAGTCAAATTCGAAGTGTTCGAGCCATCAGTAGTAGGGGTCGAAACATCCCTAAAGCTTTTGAAATCTTCACTAATGAGAAAACTTTTGTTTTAAAAGCTAAAGACAGTAAAAACACTGAACAATGGGTACAGTGCCTTTCTATAGCTATGGCTCATTCTCATTCTAAAGATTTATAAACACTTAAATATGTAATATTAATTTATGTGATAAATCAAAATCTGTCGATAACATATTTTAACAGAATTATGAATTCTAAAATACAGATTCTATAAATGATTTAGTTTTCAGTTATTGGAGATTTACAAAGTTTGGTCGATTAAGAAATTGATTCTCATAAATTTTATAACTAGTTTCTCTGGAAGTTAAAGTTTATTGTTTTTAAATTCTTCAACTTAATGGTGGTCAAAAAGTGGTTGCTAAAAATTTGTGGCAAATATTTATTTTTGTATATTTGTATATGTATTTAACTTTTTTAATATGACTATACAATGAAATTTTACCTTTTACATCTTTATAGTTTATTACAGAATACCACTTTTTACTGAGTGGCTCTTCCACTTTAGCTTTTTAAATGACCAATAAGTATTAAATGTGTAACTTTATTCCATGAAAGAAAAGGCTGGCTCCTTTTAGTGGGATTTTTGAAATGTGAGATTTATATATGTTCAATGTATATATATACATATAAATATATTTGTGAGAATTTATTATATTATTAAATATAATAAAGTTTTTGTTGAAAATAATACTTTTGTGTCTTAGATATTATCATATTCACTATTTTCTATGATTTTTTTTTACAATTGCAGTTAAATACAGTAAATTTTTCACTTAGAAAACAATGTGTTAAGTCAAATCAAAAATCTTTCATTGTCATATACCACAGCACAAAGAGTATGCTGCTTCCTGTTTATAAATTTCTCCCACTTATACTGATGACCTCAATCATATATTTCTCAAACAAATGAACCCTCAAAATCTCCTACTGGGTTATTGGGTTGTAATTTTGGCTATAAAAACATTTAAATAGTTTTTTTTTTTTAAAATTCATTACCAATTTTAAAACTCTTGTAATTTTTCTCTATTCAAAAAGGTTCATTGCTTAATAAAACAGATAATCAAATTTTAAGAATAAACATTTATTAATTGCTGAGAAAATTTACAAAGCCACATTCACTGTTGTTGGTGATTATAAATGACAAAAAACTTGAGTGTAATTTAGTTATTGGTTTATGCATGAAACTTGAATTCTCTAGACCAGTGTTCCCTAACCCCCGGTCAAATGTTACTGGGCTGCCCATTTCATAGAAACTGAATTTAACAGGGTTCATACTCCTCCTGAAATTCCTGAAAAACTCCTGAAATTAGCTTTTTTTTTCTAAGGGCCCTTATAACTCCTGAAATTGGCATTTTAACTCCTGAAAATTGCATTTTATCTCTTGAAAATTTTTTAACAAAAATAAAAAACGGTTCTTAAACGGAGAAAATAGTTAATCATTCCTCCCGTCTTCCCATCCCTTTCGTCCCTGGCTAGCAGGTGAACTGTATAAAGATTGGCTGCTAAGTGTTGTTCCTGTGCCGGTTTAAAATTTGAATCGAGCAATTCATTTGAATAGCCTCACTACAAAAGCTGAAATTTTATGGACTTTAAAGGTTTTAAGCTCACATTATTCCTACAAATCTTGTGAACATGCGAATTTTCTTTTTAAAGCTATGTTTTCTGATAGCGAGACAGCAAGCAATTTCAGTTGTGGTGGAATAAAAAACTACCTACCTCTCAGTTTTTGGTATTGCGCCATATTTTTTGTCTCTACTTAAGTGAATAGTGAAAGAGGAAACCAATTATGTACTGCTTTTTGATGAAAGTCTAAATGATGTTAATCAATTCAAAAACTGGATTGTCATGTAACATTTTAGGATGGTAACCAAATAAATATGCGCTACTATTCTTCAGACTTTCTAGGCCATGTTACATCTGAACTTTTATTTGAAAAAATAACTGAGAAATGCTTGTGCATAAACACTAAAAGTTTATTATTATCTATGGATGGCCCGAATGTCAACCTAAAAGTGCTAGGCATAATGATGGAAAAAATGAAGAATGAACACAATGCGAGTCTCTTGAATGTAAGTTCATGTGGACTGCACATAGTGCATAATACCTTTAGGGGTGGTTGCTCTGTTGCTTTTCCAAAAGTAGAGCATGCTGCATCATCTGTTTACCAATTTTTTAAAGACTCTCCTGCCCGAAGAGAAGATTTTGAATCTGTAAATCCTGAATTTGTAAAATTCCCTTTAAAATTTTGCAAGCACAGGTGGGTGGAGAATGAAAAAGTTTTAGTTTGACTTTTAGAAATTTTGCCTGATGTTAAAACTTATTTGAAGGAGATAGAAAACAAAAAGTTTTCTCGGCCAAACAATAAATCGTATACAATCTTATAGGACATGGTTAAAGATGAACTGTTTATTGCCAAATGTAATTTCATTTTACCTGTTGTGAAAGATGTTGAACCTTTCTTAAAATTGTATCAAACTGATAAACCCATGTTACCATTTTTAAATGGTGATCTCAACTTGCTATTGAAAGATGTGCTGAACAGATTTATAAAAGAAGAGAAGCTTCCAGCATCGTAATCGATTTACACTTAATACAATGTTTTAAGTATAAATCTCGAAGATAAAGAAATTTGTAAAGAGGCAACCAAAATTGATGTTGGCTTTGTTGCCAGAGAAGAGCTGATAAAGAAGAAAATTTTGAAGAATGAAAAGAAAACAATTTTCCCTCTCACTTCCTGAATTTATTGTATTGTACTCCTGAAAAACTCCTTAGTTACTCCTGAAATTTACTTTCTTAGAAAGAGTATGAACCCTGTAAAAGAATTTCAAATTAACCTTAGCATAATTGAAAACATAGCAAGAATTCCGTTTAAGTTAACCTCCAGTAGCTTGCTTTGGATTTCCTACTTTCGTAGCATAACATATTTAATATTTAGTTTGAAATATAAATGATTACGTAAATATTTTTAATAATAGGGTAAAATTTACCTTACAATTATTTTAANAGAGTAAAAGAAGAAGATTGTGATAGCATTCTGAAGGAATATGTTAAATTTGTTGAAGATTTTAACAGCATGGATACTAGAACAAAATTTAGGCACTGCATCGGCGATAATTTTGATCCTAGCATAGATTGACTAGATGTGTTTTACTGCGAGTTTTTGTCAAGTTCACAATATCCCAATTTGTGGAACATAATTAAACCTCTACTTCTGCTTTCTCATGGCCAGGCAACTGTTGAGAGAGGGTTTTGGTCTATCGGTTGAAAATCTGCCAAACCAAACAATTGTGGCTAAAAGAATAATTGATGACCATCTACGATTTGTTGATGGACTTGAAAAAGTCATTATTTCAAAAGAACTCATTGTTTCAGCTACAGTTGCACGTCAAAGATATCTTGCACATTTGGAAGAAGAGGAAGTAATTACAACTAATAAAGCTAAGGGTGAAAAAAGAAAGCTCTTAGCAGAAAATGTTGATAATTTAAAGAAGAAAAAGAAACATATGGAGGATGATATTCAAGAACTTAATAAAACTTCAGATCATTATTCTGATCAGGCAGAAAAAAATGTGATCTCTCATTAATTTCAAAAGCAAATGCCTTAAGGCGTCATGGTAAGGAAAATATGTCTGAGCTTAAAATATGTGAAGAAGAACTGAATAAGACATATGACTTTAAAAAGTGTTTAAAATAAATAAAATTTTAAGATACTTTTTTTATTAATTTACTATTTTGTGCTTTTTTTTTTTTTAATGTTATAAATTTAATTTTATAAATAGCTATATTAAAATTATACTAAGTATATAATTTTCCCTCTCACTTCCTGAATTTATTGTATTGTACTCCTGAAAAACTCCTTAGAAACTCCTGAAATTTACTTTCTTAGAAAGAGTATGAACCCTGATTTAAGTTCCTAGGTTTACATCAAAAATTAAAAATATCTGTGTTCCATTAAAATTTTATTTATTTAAAAAAAAAAGGGGGGCCCACGAAGGTAGTGACATAAATTTTTTAATGTTTGTAATGTATCATTGGCTCCGATTACCCCAGATGGAACCGTCTCATTGCATTGCAGGGTTCTCATTGATTTAACGTTCTAGTAATTTAAAATGTTAAATCACTTTATTTTTTTGGTGTAACTGTATTTTATTTTGATGGCATGTTTAAATATAATTAAATTAAAGTTAATAAATCAAAATAATCTAAAATATAAAAACTCAACGCCCCCACCCCCAGCGGGCCGCGGTAAAATTATCAAACGTTGACAGGTCCGCGGTGATAAAAAGGTTGGGGAACACTGCTCTAGACGATTGACTTAATAAGGTTCCTGAAGTAAAGCAATTAAAAGCTAAATTCCTGCGTTCCTTGGGAATAACTGTGCTCAGTTCCAGCTGTGTAGGTAAACTGTATGGTCAGTTCTGTGTCTCTAAAATGTTCAAATTTAACAAATCGCTCACCATCAGATATGTGTTTTTAGTCGGCAAGAAACCTGTCTGCTACATGGTCCTGATTGATGATTGGTCATAAATGGCAGATTTGTGAAGTAGCAAAATTCCCTTCCATGCTGACAGGGAAGTTAGCTCCTCTATGACAATGACTCTCTCTGCAGCTCAGATCCCAGCTTTATTGGACTCTTTTGGTTGGGAAGTTTTGAACTTTCCCGCTCTACAGCCCAGAACCTGCGCTGAGTGTTTTTCCGATATTTCAAACATCATTTTGGTGGCAATTACTACAACAATGACCTCTTGGTTAACGGAAGAGGGTATTCTAAATCTAGCTGTAAGGTATGTTAAGTGTTTAAACAAACTTGGCAACTATGCTGAAAAGAAGAGAAACGTATATAGAATCTGAAATAAATTTGCTTATTGAAATTTTTTTTCGCTCGGTTTTTATTTTTGTCCTTGATAACAAAAATAATGGGGTTGGATGGTATCAAAGCAAAACTCATTTATAATATTTTGACGATTGTTTTATGAATTCAAAACCTTCCAATTATTGGAGTCCCGCGGTGGACTGATCGTTAAGACACGGTTCCCAGCAGATCACCGAAGTCAAGCATCACTGGCTTAGGTCAGTGTGTGGGTGGGTGACCACTTGGATCAGTCTGCGTAGGGACCGAGGGTGTGCGGTATTGGTCCTCGTTAAACTGTGCTACCGTGAAGTGCTCGACTTCGCGCGCAGGTCGTCGGGCTACCGAAGCGGGGGTGCCATCCCCTCTGCAGAGGATCAAAATTGTGATGGCATGTCTTCGGATCATCCTCCGGGATGTTTCCCAGACCGTCGCCAATAGCCCATTGTGCAGCTCTAGTGGGACGTAAATTAACAACACCACACACACCAACACCAATTATTGGACGCCAATTCAGAATAACAATATAATTACTTTTTCTACACTAAATGTTTAACGTTCTACCATCTGATGATCTATTAATTCTTACATTGCGATTAACGAGACATCTCGAATATTAACTTACTTATATTCGAATATTAGCTATTATTATTTCTCGGAATATTAACTGTGTGCTTGGGATGAGATAATTCGTCCTCTACCCACAAGTTTTTTCATTATTGCAGAGTATTCAACGACTTATTTATCAACATTTTTGCTCGCATTCTAATCCATAATATTTTGTCTTCACATCATTTCTACAAGACGATACTACAGAATAATTTCTAGAGCTTTTGCAATA